CACACTTAAAAGGAATTTTGACGTCTATATTATTGAGTGTATATAATATACCATATTAGTATACGTAGTGATTACCGTGTATTCTTGAGTACTTGTTTACTATATAAACATATTGATCAATGAATACTATAAATGTAGATATCTGTCAATTTCCACGAAAAAATTTGTAAATGAGAAGGTATTAAAAACAAATATTGCGAGGTCATATTTAAAATTTTAGAACCTAAATTAAAAAAAAAAAAATTGAAAGTTTTAAAACCTCAAATGCTGTCAGGTTGTGTTGTAAAATTTCAATTACAGCATATATATCTTCCTTTTCAAAAAGGAATCTTTTTTCAGTTAAAAAAAAATATATAACAAATAATTCATAAAATAGATATTACTGATTATAGGACTAATGAAATGTTCTCTTCAAGTTTTTATACTTGAATTTTAAATTTATATTATAACATGCACCATAAATATAAATATTTATTTTTTTGATGGATAAAATAATAAATTGTATAAAAAGATAATAATAAAATAAATATTATTATTATTTTATCATCAAAAAAATATATTTTTTAAATAATTATAAAAAATCTATTTTATATATTTTAAAACAATGAATAGGTAACAAGCTCAATACCCAATCTTCGTAGAATCTCCACAATTTAAGATGAGTATTAAACAATAACACCCTTCAAATTAAAATTGAAACCTATTATTTCTATGCTGAAGGTGTAAATTTCATAAAGAATTACATTAAGTCTTTGTTTGGTGGAGATTAAAATCAGATTTTTTGTAAATTTTAATAGAAATTAATGAAATGTGTGAAAAGTTGCAGGACCCATAAAATATATGATTAAAATTAATTAATTACTTTGACTTAAATTGAAATCTAGATTTTAATTTCAACTAAAAGGAGGCTAAACTCCTTAAGAATTAAAGTGAAATTTAAGCAATCTTTGTCCAATCCACATACTCTTTCAAGATAATGTAAAACCGGTTCCACCAAAATCTCCCCTAAAAATCATGATCAACTGTCCTTTTCTAAAATGTTTTTTTTAAAGTATAATTTGTAGATATTTTGATAGAAATCTTGTTTGTTCTAGCTACACTATAATAATCACCATATCTATCTATTGAATTGTGCCATATATTTGTTGCGTCTCAATCTCAATGAATTCGTCTTCTCATGATAGATTGATGACCATTAATGGCAATAGACTTCTTTGATTTCACGAATCAAACTGCTGTCCAAATATTTGAATATGGATACTTTTTACTTCAATTGATGACGATTTCTATTCTATTAAAACTTACCATTTTTTTCTGAAATGGAAATGATTTTTCCTTTCTGAAAAAGCACTCAAAACTTGAATATCTGTCCGTTTCATAGCATTTTATCAATGGAGTTGAACTAATGTCATTCAAGAAGAGGGAATATGATATAATTTGTCGGCTGTTCATTTCAAAATTGTTAAAATTTAACGTACAATACAAATTTTACAACTTAAAGTATTGAGCGTATAAATAATGATGCAAGCCCAATATATCTCGACAAAACATGCATTTGAAACAACTGATTGCTTATGTGGCTTTTTGGTTGCATATCCTTGGTGGAATAAGAGGTTGTCAAAAAGAGAATATTTTTTTATTTAATATTTTAATGAAATTCCAATCCAATAATATCTTACTATATCATATATAAAACATTATATTAGAATTTGAGTGTGACTCGAATTCCTTGTTTGAAGTATTGAAAATTCTAATTGAAATGCATGTCAATGAGAATTCAAGTTTGGAATATTATTGGAATCATATGTTAAGTTAAAGTTCTATTTTGGAAGTCTATTGAAATTTGAAAATTGATATTGGATTTGAAGAAGAGTTNTCTGTTTCGGGTTTTCCGCATTTTTCTCTCCTTTTTCATTTTGGACCGAGTTTTTTGACATTCTACTTCTTTAACAACTCTACTGTGAGCGTTTGGACGTCCCCTACATGATCCATATAAATATCAGATTTTTCTATACAATTTTATAAGTGTGAGAAAATAAATTACTAGAATTGTAAAATCCATTGTAATTTTCTCACTTCTCCATTATTTTTGAGTCAATAAAATCTCTTAATTCATTTTCCATATTTCTTGTCTTTATTATTCTTTTGCTTGTTCTAATACTTCATTATTTGCCATATAATTTCAATAATTCATTCATGTGATTGGTTTCATGAAATGGTATTCAAACAATATATAATTCTTGTATTTCCAACAATGCTAACAGCGATCCGGACATATTAATATTTTTTCTAACAAGAGATATTTTGGTTGTTTCATAACAAGTGGCATCAAAGCTCCAGATTCAGCAGTTTCGTAAGAGCGTATGGTTTGATTTGTTCAAGGTTTTTTGTTCGTGATGACTTCCATGAAGTATAACATTTCGCTTTTGAATTGGAGGACTAGATTTTCGCTATGGAAGGTTAAGATGCGTGTAGTACTCGTACAGCTAGATTTGGATGATGTGTTTCTGGGAATTGACAAGATGCCCGTAACTTTGACAGCGGAGGAGAAATTACGGAAAGATGAGAAGGTTTTTTCTCACATTCATCTTCCTCTATTAAATATTATTCTTCAGGACGTTTTGAAGGAGGTTTCAACAGCTACTTTATGGTTGAAATTAGAACAATTGTGCATGACTTTTGTCTAACAAGCAAGTTAAACCTCAAGCAGCGATTATACTCTCATCGAACGATAGAAGGAGGATCATTAAAAGATCACCTGATGTATTTAAAGAGATCTTCACCGATTTGGAAACTTTATAAGTACAGTATGATGAAGAAGATTCGGCATTGATCCTATTGTATTCGTTGTCCACTCCATTTTCTTCATTTAGAGACACGATCTTACATAGTCGTGATACTCTCACCATAGAGGAGGTGTATGATGCTTTATATTTAAGAGAGAAGATGAAACATTTTGTTTCTGAGGCTAGAGATGGAGAAAGCCTAGTTGCTCATGGTGGTTCTGGAAGGGGCAGATCGAAATCTAAGTTAAGTAATCAGATTTGTAACTACTGTAAAAAGAAGTGGCACATGAAGAAGAATTGCTACAAATTCTAGAATAAAAAAAGGTTGACTGCAAGTCGATATGGAAAGCAATCAGATACTTCAAGCGAAGCAAACGTCGTGGAGCACATTGATGGAGATCTTTTGGCTATTTCTGACATCGAGTCTAAATCGGAGGAGGATTGGATTCTTGATTCAA